TTTTTTTTTTTTTTTTTATCGTACCTGTAGCTTCCGCTAAGAAAAATAGTCCATTACAAAGCATAAAATAATCGGCATAGCAACAAAATGAATTTTGTTTCAGTACTATAATGGTATTAATAATGATGATGATCCTACAAAATACTGTGCCAGATGAGTTTTGTATAAAAAAAGAGAAAGTCCGCAGAGTAACACGAAAGTAGCGCCGGTTCCCCTTTTGAGTTTACAGTATGTGTCCACTGAGTAGAGCGGGAGTTTCCAAATAATTTCTATAAAAGTTGCATCACGTTAATTTGAGTCAGGGCCATCCATAGTGGGGTGCAACTGATTAGACGTCTGCATTTACATCTGCAAGACATATTTGTAGAGCGTTTGCTCATCTGCAATACGTTTCTGAGACATTTATCAGATGTCTAGTAGACGTTTAGAAGATGTCTTTAAGATATTTATGATTAAGAATGCATAGTATCCAGAGGTGATATAGTATCCAGAGAGCCGTGTAATATGAGAGGATGTATTTAATCTGACTGAATTTCACATAGATGGGCCCATATTTAAAAATGATATAGCCTGTCACAACTGTAACCGGATATTTTGAAGTAGTCAACTGAACATACTTGTTTTAATGAGAAGTGAGGGTTGAATTCAATCATGTTGAAGTTTGGAAGGAGACAGACACTAAAGGAGAAAATAAAGTAGAAAATAAGCATTTGAATACTTATATGTTTATATGAAATACTCAATAATTGTTTGACTAATTGACTCTAGACTCTCCTGTTGTATTTTGACGAGTCGTACAGCGGCTCCTAGTGGTGACAGTGATTACAGTATGAGTTGTGATGACAGATACTCTTCTGAATGTGGGAGAGTCCAGGGCCAATGGCCTTTCAGTAAGTGCCAGTCTTAATGCCAGCTACATTCTATATTAAGCAGTACCATTCACTGATGTGCTGGCATATAGAATATCTCACACCCCTCAGACTTGAAAAGACACAGTGTGTGCAGCGTTCTGATATTTGTGCTGGATATTCTATCCCCCGCCCCGGCCTGCCAAAACTCTCACATTGCCTTGTATACCTCACAGCTGGACGAACAAACAGAAGGAAGCATGTGTGCGTAAACGTGCCTGCCTATTCTCGCATACATGTTTATGACGTCATACACATGTATGTATGCATTTGTGTGCATGTTTTGTCGTGTCTGTGTTTGATGGGTTGTGTATGACGAAAGCGAGTGACCTGCTAAAGCTATTGTTATCATGATCCCGTTCGTTTAGAGGATGTGTCTCTGATTTCACAAATTGCACAGCAGGTATGAGGGAGCGATGATGCTCTCTGTCAACACGCATCAGGACTGGAGAGGGATTCTTTGCACTTTTCTGGACTAGTTTGGAATTTTGCATCCCGACAGTTGATGCTAAAATACTTTAGATAAATGTGTCTGCTAAATGAATAACTACATGTAATTACTGCTCAGTTTCATACACGCATCTATTCTTAAAAATAAAGGTTCTAAAAGAAGTTTTCACAGTGATGCAATAACCATTTTTCAAAATATTTCAGTCCACAGTTCGCAAAGAAAGGAACCATGTTTTCTTCATTAAAAGAACATTTTAATAATATGAATAACATTTTCTATCCTTTGTGCTTTCTTCATGGAACCTTGATATGTCAATAAAGAACCCATAGACATAGTGGCATAGATGTTTCAAAAGTATCAAATCTGTAATATTGGCTTTTGGGGCATCATCATCATTGTAATATGATCTGGAGATGTCTGGTTGTGAAATCTCTTGATGGTTTTGAGTTGTGAAACAACAGCAATATGTACCTAAAACTATCCATCAATGCAAAACAAGATTTGCTGTGAGATCAGTCATTCTGACCTGAAAAACTTGCTTGTCTTGCAACCTACTGAATAACCGGATTTTATTTGGTCGTATAACTACAGTAAAGTAGAAATAAGGAATGAATGAATGAATGAATAACTGTCAGCATGCATGTCAAGTGTTAATATAGGGAACAATCATGTGCAACGAGTATATGGAACCGTGAGATTTAAATGACAACTGGAATAATATTTGATCTGTGCATGGTTCTCTGTTTGGAAAATCACATACGAAGCCACAGAGTTGAGTCCTTGCTAAACCTTTGGATGGATCACAGTTGCTGCGAGAATTCACAAATGTGCTTAATCAATCCCTTAAACCTCATTACACGGGTGCTGCTACCAATACTACCATGATGCAAGCATGATCTTGAGGGTCAAACGTTTTTGTACGCGTCCCATGTTGCCTGATGTATTACAACTTGGATTAATGACATGTCAGGAACATGTCGCGATGTCCTGTGAACTTCACACAAGTCTTCTCATTATGATGGAATGACATTGCACCTGTTGCTTCAGGATGTCATACCTGACTGCATCCTATGCTGCATAGTCAAGAGTGTGGCAACAGTTCTGTAAATAGATAAATGTCATGTGGCTTCCAAGGATTTGTGTTCCTTGGGGTGAGTAAGAGAATATTTTTATTTTTTTTTACCTCAGATACCCGACTCATTATAAATGTGACAGTTTAAATGAATGAAACAAATGCAGTTTGGAGAATGTGTGCACACCAATACCCTGAGGTCACCGAGGCAAAAACAGTCAAGGCTAAAATGTTTAAAGGGGAAATATGATGAGTGTCATCTATTGTGCCATGATAAATCATCAGGGAGGAGTGGTGATAATTCAAAGGGATGTCTACCTGTGGAGTTCAACTATTATCTATCCAACTGTCATGACTCTGGACAAATGTAATGTTATGTGTGTGTGTGTGTGTGTGTGTGTGTTACCATTAAAACTAATTATTATTATTATTATTATTATTATTATGTGTGCGTGTGTGTGTGTGTGTGTGTGTGTGTGTGTGTGTGTCATTTTAATTGAGTATAATTTAATCATATAATCATTTTAATTGAGTATAATTTAGCTCAATGCATATGGTGGAAAAAAAATAATTTAAAAAAAAACAGTTTATGTGTATTTTGAGGCAGATGAATGTGAGGTATTGATAATAACAACAGCCACCAATCAGACAAAGCTAATGTAAACGTAATACAAGACATGAAATATGTACGCGTCATGTATATCTTAGTAGTCTATCACATTATTTTTTTAAATATTTTGACTTTAAGGCAAAAAGTCATTCCACTTTCAGCTGTACCGTTATCTTTTATGCTTTTGACAGTAGAAGACTTCAACACACATACAGTGTCTATTGCACAATTTAACTCACGACCAACAAACAGGTTTTGAACTGAAATACTTATTTGAACTACTATTTTATCCTTTAAATAGGAATATGAACTCAGAACATGATGAAGCGCATGTGCGTAGAGTGCGTAGCTGGAGTAGCCAACTTTAACATCGTTGGGTAAAATATATTGTTTATTATTTTTTAGTCGTATTGTTTAATCTTGGATAATAAAATAGTGATAATAACTATCGATTTCCTGGAATATAATATATAATAATACAAATATAATGTGTTCAGCAAGACAGTTAACAGAGACTTTTAACTACCGCTTCCATGGCCGTTCCGTATACAACATTTAGAAACACAATAACTTCAATTATATTTTTTGTTTATTATTAGTTTAAAAAAAACTATTGCATTAAGCTTCTCTAGTATGAATACATTAATGGGAAGCAAAAATAGGTGGCACACTCTGACCAAGTACTCTTCAAACTAATGCAAACGCATTAGTAAAAAAAAAAAAAGCAAAGTAACTTTATTTTATTTCTGTATAAAAAAATATCTTTTTGTATCACTTTTTCACAAAAGCATGTTGCATGCACATTATAAACGATGCTTTCATCGTTAGATCTTACTTGTCACAAACTTGTCACAATAATATGTCACAATAATTTATTCTCATATTATGACTATATTTTCCACTCGATTTTCTTACTTTGTAATTGCAATAAAGAGGGTGAAAAAGTAAAATGCATCGGTTTTGGTGGGTTGCTTTTTTTTTAGATATGAGGGCAAAAAGATCATAAAAAGATAAAAAAACAAAAAAAGTAAAATAGGCCTATATCAACGTCCATTCAAAATTAAAAAAATAATAATGATAAGTGTTTGTGTCACTTACCAGGGCATGAATGCAGAGGTCTAGGTCTGACGATTAAAGAGGGACAGACCGAGTAAAGTGAAAGTTTCTCGAAGTAATCACAAGTTTCCCTGGAGAGGATCTCGTCGATCATGAAAGTCTTGTATCGTCTTCTGACGGCTTTCAGCTGCGCGCTGCTCGCGACTCTCAGCTCTGCTTGACAATGCATAGTGTCCAGATACGCGCCGAGTGACGTTCACCACAAAAGTTCTGACAAAACAAGTCGTCTTGAAAGTTGTGTAAAACTTTGAAAGTATGATAGTGATCTAAAACGGCATCTCATCTGATCGGCTGTGGCGTCCTCTTGCAGCTGTGCTGCGCTGAGAGTGTGTTCAGTGTCTTCCGCGCGCTGCGCTCTGAGTCACCGCTATATAAACCAACTCTCCTGTCACTGCTGCACTGCTGTGTGTAACAGCAGACACACTTCACGTCAATCACCCCCTCCCTCACCCTCTCTCTATCTCTCCCTCTTTAACCCAACCTTCTGGGTAGTAACCCAACCGCTGGGTCAAAACAACACAATTGCTGGGTTTGTCCCTATTTTACCCAGCACTAGGTTGTATTTAACCCAGCATTTTTTTAGAGTGTACGGTTCATTTACAGTGTTAATTTAAACGTCTGCACTTCTCTTCTTCTTCTTCTATTATTTTTGTAATTGTTGTTGTTGTTGTAAAAAAAAATATTTATTAGTATTTTGTTTTATTTTATACACGTCCTACACTCTAAAAAAATGCTGGGTTGTTTCAACCCAACTTTGGGTCAAATATGGACTAACCCAGCCGTTGGGTTACATTTTTACATTAAATTTTGAACCCAGAAGTTGGGTTAGTCCATATTTGACCCAAAGTTGGGTTGAAACAACCCAGCATTTTTTAGAGTGTACAGATGAAACAAATGTGCGACTTCTTTTACAAATGGAAAAGCTGCGCAATTAGCTTTGTCTCTAAAATGTTAAATTCGGTCAGCATGGGCCAGATTTTGTTATGTACAAAGGTGATAATGATCATCCTCGTTTACAAGAGAAAAGAGTCCGAGTGTTTCTGAAACTCATTCTGAAATATGCATGATAAAATAGGCCTACATTTTAACATGGAGCAGGTGTTATGTGTTTACACAAGAGTTAACGTCATTAAAATTGAAAAGGTGACACGTGGTTTAATGATTTCATTTATTGCGGTTATTTTGTGCTGCTGAAAACGTCTGTCAATACGGAAACGCCTGTGTGTCTTAAAACTTTCAACGATCGCGTAAAGCAACTATTTCACTTGCCAGGACAAGTGGCATCATTCATTCACACATGAAGCGCAAAGTTAAGCGCTTTACTAGTAAAAGCTAGCCTACAGCGAATCAGAAGCGCGTGGCTCTTTTTTCTGAGTAATTTAATAAATAAACAGATAAATAGCTTAACTTTATATTACATTTTATTAATATCTAACGTTCACAACAATTATTACTAAAGTTATATAAGTTAAGATCATTGGCTAACATTCAAATAATTTGATTAGACTATAGGCTTCATTAAAAATAAAATTAATAATTTTTAAAGCATTATAAAGCTAAATAGTTTTTGTATGGTGTTGCCTATAATTATTAATGAATTAAGGAAGGACAACCTAGTCCTATATTTCTAGTGATAAATCTGCACGATAAAATAATGACTTGTTTGTTTGTGCTTTAAAATTAAACCTTTACTGCAACTTAAATGTAATCATGCAATCAAATATTCGACTGTTAATAATTATACACTTCTATAAAGAATAACAAAGGCAACGAATATAAACATTTTCTAGAATTGATAACTGTGCAGGCGGAAAGCATTTGGTTTTGTGTTTATCTTGAGCAGTTTGTTAGTTTCTGGAGTTGGAACAACGGTAATTTTATTTAATTTGAAAAAAAAAAAAAAAGTAGCATACAATTGCGTATTAAACCCTATGGTCACAAATATTCTAAAAAATACTTAAAAGTGCAATCTAGACTTGAATAATTGGCGATATAACTGTAGAAATGCCTAGATAATTCCAGTGGCGTTTCTGAAAAAAAGTGTATTTATTTTGTACACTATTGTGATTTATTTGTTCATCCTATTTTTAGCGAAATTCGTTGTAACATAAAAAAATAAAGTAACATCAAGCAATATTTCCCTGCGTTGCTTCTGTGAGAGTCGTTCGTGAAATACGAGGCAGAATCGACAGGTGTTCGTGTTTCTCATCAGTGTCAGTAAGCTCAGACAGTATTAACCGTGTGAAATGATGGAGGTGAACAGACATTTCTCTCGGTTTTGTTACAGAACGAGTGAGAAAGACAGCTCTTTCCAGACAGCAGCAGCAGCAGCAGTTTTGTTTGACATTATGATGCTTATTACAGATGGACCGCTGCTTTGATGTTCGTGGCGCACTGAACTCCTTCATCGAGCTCAGTGTCGGGTTTCTGCTTTTCAGAGCCGTGTGTCCGCTGTCCAAATGATTATCATTTTCCCATGTATGAGAGTAAATATAACTCTGCAGAGGATCCGAGATAACAGCCGCCGCGTTCAAAGCGTGAGGGATTATGTAAAGGAAATATAGAGATCTCCACTGGAAAAAGCTTTGAGCTCTTTTGGGTTGGAGACCTTGATCAAAGGGGAGAAATTAGAACAACTGCTGCTGGCTTTAAAACAGAGGGATACAACAGAATATCAAGATAAACAGACGGTATAGTGGGAAGTGGGTTCATATGGCACCTGCACACAGCGCCTGGAGATTAGAGATGATAGATAGATAGATAGATAGATAGATAGATAGATAGATAGATAGACTTACAAAACAATAATCATGTAATAATTTTTAAATACTTAATTTCTGACCCTAAACATGTCTTTATGCTTTATGTTCTTCCAGTGATTTGTTGCGCATTCAATTCTCATTCCCATTCCCATTTCTTTTTCAAAAATTCTTGATGATATGACAGCGTTCTCTCTCTCTCTCTCTCTCTCTCTGTGTACTCGTGCATAAATAAAAATAGGAATTAAAAATTAAATACTCTTAAAATTAAGAAAAATATTTTTTTTTAAATCATGGGGTGAGAAAAGTTTAATAAAAGTTATGTATATATCGTATAGGCTACGTACAGAGACATTATATTAATTTATTTTCATGCAACAATATATGGGTTTTAATAGAGTGGTGAAAGGCTGGCGGGGGTGAAGGGCCACATGCAGCCACCGCTTTCTGGATTCCGGACGCCAAGCAGCTCAATCAATTAAGCAGTGAACGCGCAGAGGCTGAGCTCCCCAATAACGCGTTCCCCAGTACAGCAGCTTCACTAGAACCCGATCCTCCGCAAATTAAAGCAGAGACTTCTGGATCCGGGAGCTTTGTGAGGATGCTCGGCTTCATGCACACCGGGAGCCGCTGATAGCAGCTAAAGCAGTTTCGGAAGGACAGATTATGACCTCAGATCGGGCATTAAAGGATCCCGCTGCCTGATGTGTCGATGTTGTTCTAACGCAACCACAGGCGGGTCAGTGCCGTTAATTATCACGACTATTAAAGGTCCAGTTCAAGTTCTCATGAAACCTTTTCAAACATTTACCGTTTTCGACGAAAGAAGGAATGAAGATGACAAACGTTCTGAAAGCTTCCGAGATTCCATAGGTTATTCGTTTTTATTTACAGTAAAAACAATATTTGTGACTTTTTGATTTGACTTTTTTTTATCTCTCGAGTGATTAAAGACTTAATGTTTTAAGTTTAAACGCACAGTACACTCTAAAAAATGCTGGGTTAAATACAACCCAGTGCTGGGTAAAATAGGGACAAACCCAGCAATTGGGTTGTTTTGACCCAGCGGTTGTGTTAAATGTTTAACCCAACCTTCTGGGTAGTAACCCAACCGCTGGGTCAAAACAACACAATTGCTGGGTTTGTCCCTATTTTACCCAGCACTGGGTTGTATTTAACCCAGCATTTTTTTAGAGTGTATAGTCTATTATTTTTTTTTACACATTAAAATTTAAATTGAAAGTTTACACAAGTGAAGTGGCAAATAGCTACGTTTCATGATTAATATCCCTCTAATATGCAGAACGCAGTCTTATTATGTGGAACTTTTCATTTATGACAAATACAAATGTAGCCTATATAGCCTAACCAAACTATTAGCAAGTGAGAACGCTTTCTATAAATAATACAACTAATGCAATAACACAAAACTGTGAATTAAATATTGATTGAATGGTCCTCTGCAAAAAAAAAAAGCATGTATTTTTGCAAAATTGTATGGATCCGTTTTAAGTAGGCTACGTACCACCCTATTTTAGCGTAATATTCAGATCTGACCTGGTAGACTTGACCAAGCTCGTAGATCACCTGATCATTACAAAAGCAGTTATCATGTGCCAAAACCAGCATGACCACCACCAAGCTGATATGAATAGGAACTCAACAAAATGTCCTATTTAAAATCCTTCAAAAACTGTCCCACTTTACCCTATATTTTCATTACTGAAATAATATATTAAGCCTGCATTAGAATCCATACAGACATAGGCTTCTAAATATACTTGTGTATAGAAGAAAAAATATTATGACTATACATGCTTCAATTATGGCGCCACCTATAGGCTACTGAAATCCCTGTTAGAGATACTTCATGTATCGACCAGTTGAAAAATATTTGCCGAATTAAAACAATCAAGTGTTTATATGATGTAAACAAATGTAAGAGTTCAACAACAAATTCAGACAGAAAGAGATCAGTAAACAGTGACTTTATGAAACCAATTGTTGCACTTGACAATAAAAATGGCATATTTACCAAAGTATTAAAACTAGTTATTGCTCCCAAGTTTACAAAGACTGTCTTGATGAATAATCAATATCATCCTAATCTCATCCCAAAAAGAGGAATGTAGAAAGTAAACACCAAATCTGAAAAAAAAAAAAAAAAGAAAAAAAAAAATTTTTTTTTAAACATCAAAAGCACCTGAAAACTAGTTTTCTATTTTCCAAAATGAGAAATCCTGAGAAATTACAAATTTCTAGGGGGAAAAAAAACTACCATATTTTGTTCTTTCATGCATTTCGTTGTTGTACATACAGAAATATTTCTCAAAAAGGACATTCTTAAAAATAAAAGTTACATAAACATAGGTGTCCCCGAGATCAAAATATACATTTAAAACAGGCCAGCACACAAAATGGCCAATTTATTACTGGTTTTGTATTTTTTTTTGTTCTTGCATCTTTAAAAACAACTTCCAATCTAAATGCCTTAACTTCATTATGTCAAAAATGTGCTTTTGTACTGCTAACTTTCTTTTTTTTTTTAAACCATTAAGATGCAATTCACAAAATAGAAAATTTAAAAATCTTGGAAGATAACAAAAGGTTATTAAAACAGTTGATTTAAAAAAATGTTTACAGGAGAACTAAAATGCAACTAAAGCTGGCTTTTAAAAGTGTTTCCATCGTCCCTCTCTAGAGTCTCTCCGTCTTTCAGGAGGGTGATTTCTGTTGTGTCCTCCGCTGCGGTCATCATGGTGATAGAAGTCACCTCGCTGGCTGTCGCGCCGATGCCGGTCATAGTTGTTCCCGCTGTGGCCCTGCCGTTGATCTCTGCCTGGGTTGCTATTGTCCTGGGGAGGGTGGCGATGACCACGCTGGCCGGACCAATCCTGTTGCCAGTGATTACTGTCTGCAGGACTGCGCAGTTGCTGCATGCCCTGCTGGTGACCTCCATTGAGCTGGAGCAACTGCTGCATCTGAACCTGCCACATGTTATTCACCTATTAAAAAAAAAGAAAAAAAGTGAGGGATGACTTTAAATGCTTCGCTCAATGTGAAAGCACGCAGGTGATGGAGATTTACCGCTGATTACAGAACCGGATTTACTGATAAGATGCGCGTTAAATATCGCATGCGATTAATCGTGCAGCCCTAGACATGACACACATCATCTTAATAATTCACCCAAAAATCTAAATTTAGATGAGTTTGTTTCTTCATCTGAACAGATTTGGAGAAATGTAGCATTCCATCACTTGCAGTGAATGGGTGCCGTCAGAATGAGAGTCCAAACAGCTGAGAAAAACATCACAATAATCCACAAGTAATCCACACCACTCCAGTCCATCAGTTAATGTCTTGTGAAGCAAAAAGCTGTGTTTGCAAGAAACAGATCCATCATTAAGACATTTTTTAACTTTAAACCATTGATTCTGGCAAAAACAGGAGTCCATAATCCATAATAACGCTTCCTCCAGTGAAAAAAAAAAATCCATCTCCTGTTGTCTTCTCACATCACATCGTCCCACATATTAGTTTAGAACTGTTTTTGCTTGTAAACGGTGATTGATCTGTGCAGACTTCTCTCCCGATTCAGACGAGACGACTTTTTCACTAGAGGAAGCGTTATTATGGATTATGGACTTGCATTTTAGCCAGAAACAACAGTCTGAATTTTAAAAACGTCTTAATGATGAATGTGTTTCTTAAAAACACATAGCTTTTCTCTTCTCAAGGACATTAACTGATGGACTGGAGTGGTGTGGGATACTTGTGGATTATTGTGATGTTTTTATTATCTGTTTGGATTCTCATTCTGACGGCACCCATTCACTGCAGAGCATCCATTGACGAGCAAGTGATGGAATGACATTTCTCCACATCGGTTCAAGAAACAAGCTCATCTTGGATGGTCTGAGGACAAGTACATTTTCAGCAAATCTTCATTTTTTTAAATGTCCATCAGCAATAAAATCTACTTTTGGTCTGACATTAATTAACAGATTTTGAATGGAGGAATCCGAACATGAGCAGAAGTGTTAGTAGAGGTATTCTCACCATCGCCTGCCTCTGCAAACTGTCAGGTGAAGAGACAGACCTTTGTATAAGCTGTGGAGGGGAGTAGGACGGAGAGCCCATCTGCTCTGGGGTTCTGCCAGCATAGAAAAGTACATCAGTTCAGGTTAAAATCCTAGAAACAAGACAGTACACTACCGTTCAAAAGGTTGGTGTCAGTATTTTATTTTTTTTTGTAATTAATAAGAAATTAATACTTTTAATCAGCAAATACTAGGGTGACCATACATCTTTTTTTCCCCCAGACATGTCCTGGCCAGGATTTCCAAATTGCCTAAAATGTCCAGGGTATGGCTTTGTTTAAAAAAAAAAAAAATTATAAATACAAAAACAAAGCATATAATCATTCTGCACAACCCTAATATTATACACTTGATGGAAATGATTCCCCTAAACATTTTTGATACATAGTAAATGATTAATGTTGTCATGAAATCAGAAACCCTACTCTTGAAGAAATGCGATCACAAATGGTCACAGGAGAGGCATTCGAGATGCAAGTAAATAGCAGGTGTAAACAGTGATGGGTCTCGGCTGACATCTTGTGACGGGATCACTTGAAACAGAGCAGGTGTAAATATAACCACTAAATCACTACATTTAAATCAGAAGTTACCTTCCACCGCGGTGACCAGGTGTATTTGCTGGACTGGGGTTTTGGGAGTTTGCTGGACTTTTGCCTTCCTGGTTAATATGACTGCTGCCTGTTAAAAACAACACAGATTTAGATGACCATTCATCTGGTTCTTACACTGCTGGGCTGAAAAGATATGTTCATAACTGTGATGCATTGAATCAGAATTGCAGAAAGTTGTTTCAGGTGAAGAGCAAGTTACACATTAAAGACTTTTTTTTTTAATTCTAATTTTTGCACACATTAATCACTCACAAAACGACCAGAATCAAGTAAGCAAATGGCATCAAAATTAAGTTTGCGTACAATTCCAGCACAACCTTAATTTTTTTGTCCTCTACTACGGTTCACGTTCTTAAAGATTGTTGTGGAAATGTCCCTAACTCATGAAATGACTGGTGTGTGTGTGTGTGTCTGTGTGTGCATGTTTATGTGGTTTATGGGGACACAAATTTGTATAATAACATGGGTATGACATAGGTATTACAACGAGAAGGTGATAAGCTGGTCCTTTGTTGGTTTAAGCTGGTCCTTTGCCAGCACATGACCAGCATAAACCAGCAAAAGGACCAGCATGAACCAGCAAAGGACCAGTTTAAACCAGCATCAAAACATACCTAACCAGCATATGCTGGGGTTTTTTTCAACAGGGGCCTTAATTGTAAATGAACGACACTTAATCAAAATAAAGAAGACTTAATGCGAATGAATGACAAGAGCAAAAGTGCCTTTGCATAGACAACAACGACAACTTAATATAAACAGCAAACCAATATCCCTTATACCTTTGAATAAATGTTCAAATTAAGCGTAAGAGTGTTCGGAAATGCTCCAAACTAACGTTACCGCAAACAACAAACACGCGCTGATAGAAATTACAGTAAATATTTCAAACGACACCACGGTACTTGTTTGTAAAACATGAATCTAACGTTACTGTTTTCAATAGGGTCGTTTGCAAACGGATAAAAAATAAATAAACAGCAGTCCATCACTAGCATTAGCAAGCTAACCAACGACACTAAAGCACTCACCTGTAAAAACAGCTCAAATATAACTTCTTCTGTTACTTGAGGGTCCAAATTCCCGACAAACAGAGTCCGGTCAGCCTCATCAGCTATTCCCATCTTGCAAAATATTGATAATCCAGCCGGTTGATCGCGTTAGCTCTACTAGCTTGAATTTGTCAATTATATCATCTGTCTTTAAAACTCGTTTGCCGTGTGTGAGCAATAACTGTCGTGATGAACAGTCGCTTCACGACAGTAGCAGTTCTAGGAAAGACCAGAGGGAGGCGTCATGTGTGTGTGTGTGTGTGTGCGTGTGTGCGTGCGTGCGTGTGTGCGCGCGCGCGTGTATAAATCCAACCAGATGCTTCCAGTTTTACTCAGCGCTTAAATTAAATTAGATTAATGAAAAATATAACGATTTTTCGTTCACACCTTAAGAACACAGACAGAAAGCTGCACGTGTTGTTGTTGTGGAGATAATGTTGCAGAGCTAACAGTTGGCCCTGTCACAGATAGAGACCATGTTCCTATTGTTAGGTTATTTGTCAGTGCTGCATGCCTGTGACTCATTGAAAGCTAATGAAAAAAGAGCTGGGGGTTTTAGTCTTCAACATGTGTTTTTTAATGACTACTTTGAGATAAAGTATAGCATGAAGTATAAAGTATAACTAAGTACTGGCATTAAATCCTGTTCAGTGATGTGCTCTGATCACTCATGACATGATACTGTGTGACTTTCATGTTCAAAAAGTGGCCCTGAAAAGCAAAAAGCATATATGTGAGCTCCATATAATAAGCTTACATTGTAAAAGAAGACAGACAATGGTTTTAAGATATTAATATTTTCAAACACTGGGTCATGCAATATTACAGACAGCTATGGTGTATTTTTATATACATATTTAAAAGGAGTACATGCATTGTGACATGTCCATATGTCCTAGATCAATGAAAGAGCAATAGATCACTAGATCAATTCAGTTTAATGCATGCCAATTTTAAATCCAGGCAATCTATACTGATCTAATTTGATTGATCTAATTTAAAGGCATACATCAAGTAAAGCTATGTGCATTTTGATGCTCCAACACACGTCTTATTTACTCTGAAATAACAGCAAACTGTCGTTTTAATAATGTGATCAAGAGGAAGTGACATCACTGAATCTTCAGAGGAGCCATATGCTGATATAACATTATAATACGTGTATTATTTGTTGTTTTTTCATACTTGAAAAGATTAGTTCACCCCATCACATAAGCAATGTGTTTATTTCTATTATTGCTGTGATAGTTGACACTGGAATGCTAATGCTTTATGGCCACAAACCCGACAAACATTAAGACCAGCAGCCGTTCTTTGAACTGTTGATTATATGGATATGATAGTTGTTGATTATGTCACTTATATTCATCTTATTCTGAGTTTGTCTGTGCACAAGTGCAACAATGTTACTTTATTAGTTTGTAGCTGTGATGTTGTGGAAGAGGTATGCTGGATATGCCTCAGAATGAAAGCTATTTTGTAATGTTTTCTGCATATGGCACTCATTTCAAGACTCAAATATAGAGATTGGTAGTTTTAATGCTGTTGTTATTTTTGGTGCTATTTTATATTTGAAGGATATATTTAAATATTGATTTGCGATTCAAGAAAACTTTTAAGCAGCAGTAAATCTTACCTATATTTACAGGTGTTGAACTAAGTCGCAAAATATTTGAACTTTAATACACTAAATATTACACTAAATGTTTTCAGTATTTTATTTATTGTAAAAATGTTCATTGCTTATTCAACCTGACACTGCAGTAAAGTTGTAGTTGTAGAATCAGCTTTTAATTTCACACTTTCCTCTTTGAGTTAATCATATTTTCTTTTCCTAATAATTGTCTGTAAATGTAAAGTTTCAAACACTTGTTTAGCCAGATTTTTGTTGAGCCAGTCCTTGATCTCTCTCGGGGTCAGACATCAGGTTGCAGGTGTTTTTGGTGCCACTAGTTGGCGCAGGAATCACACGCTTCACCTTTAAGTGTGTAATTCCACCATCCAACAGTAGATGGCAATGTTCCTCCTCAGAACTTCACTGACTTCCAATACAAACTCTCAAAGCACAAAATATACTTCTGTTGAGCCAAGGTGTCTTTCTACAAATCTCAGACAGAAAAACAAAGAGAGAGAGAGAGAGAGAGAGAGAGAGAGAGAGAGAGAGAGAAAAAAGAGCGATACTAGAAAGAAAGATGCTCTCTGTAGTTTCTTCTCTGATTGTTCTTGTTCCTCAGTCAGATTCTCAGGATGGCCAGTGTTGCTGGGCTCCACAGAGGCAGAACATCACAGGGGAGCGCTGGATCTCCTCTGCCTTTTAGTCATGACTTGGATGGAAAGCGAATTATTAGTGCTCTGCATTTATCCCATCCAAAGTGCACACACACAGCAGTGAACACACACACACACACACACACACACACACACACCGTGAACACACACCCGGAGCAGTGGGCAGCCATTTTTTTATTATTATTTTTTTCTGATCTGACTTGTTGCAACATGCGAGCCTGCTACAAATTAGCATAAAACCTTAGTTTTCTGTCAAATAGACCAATTTCAGTGTTTGCAAACAGTGATGACGTTTTTTGTGGGTGGATCTTTTCTGGTGGCAGAAAAACACTGGGAACAAGTGGAGGGAAACGGGTAAAATCCATGGAATAAGAGAAAAAAAATTATTGTTGTGCCTTTGGATGTCAGAATCGGAATGCAAATCATTTTTATATAATACTGTCGTCAAAGACGCCATTTGAAGCTAAACGCAGACGTTTAAACGGACAGACTGTGGATGAAACCTGCTATGATTACCCTACTTTAAAACATACATTTGATTTAAACAATAGGTCCATATAATATTCATATAGGGGACATATTGTATTAGCCCTACAGTTGAAATACATGCATGAAATACTATTTAAACCTAAAACATTTTACATAACATTTACCTATTTTATCTAACAATTCGGACTTTTCTTTCTTGCACATGCAAGTTTATATCTCCTAGTTCGGACTTTATAACTTTATTCAAGTCAACAATTGCGAGTTTGTCAATTCTGAGGGAAAAAAAGCCAGAAGTGTGGGATTATAAACTAAAAAGAAAGAATGACGAGTTGATTTTTCTTAGCAGAATTGTGAGATATAATCTCGGAATTGCAAGAAAAAAAGTCAGAATTTTGAAATATAAACTCAAAATTATTTTTTTTATTCTTTTATTCCATGGCTTGAATAGACTGCTACATTAAAACTATCATTTTCTGCCGCCATTACGCGCGCGCAGCTGCAAGTGACGTAACTGTGACGTCTACTCCAAATTGGTCTATAGAAATATACCTTATTTTAGTCTTATTTTATTCCTGATAGTTGGTATTGTAATGTAATTAATTCTCCATATGCTTTTGAGCATGGGATTTTATACTGGGGTCACAATTAATGCTGGTTTAGCAGTAAAAATGCATAAAAAATAAAATAAAATAAAACAAAATAAATATATTAGATTGAAATAAAATTATATACATTTGATTTAAAAAATAAATAAACACATGTATTATTTATTGTATAATAAATGGTACAATACTACAGTGAATAGGAAAAAGTATGTAATAATGTTTTATAGAGATTAAATTTTTCACAATATAAATTAGGTCTTTATACATTAAAAAAATGTAGCTGCTATTTCAATTTTAGGATGGGGTCCCTGATATGATCATATTTGGGGGCTGTGGCATCTAAACGATTGAAAAGCCCTGCTAGAGTAGAGGAATTAAAATCTCCTTAAGAGTCATGGTGAGTCGATCAGTTGCGTAAAATATCAGATAATTGTATTTTTTATGACAAGACAAGGGTAGTTCAGGCTGTAAAATGTCATGTGGTGTGATTCCACAAAAACATGGAATTTATATAATGATGAAAAATTAACAATTCATTGTAATTCAAAAAACAATAAAAATAATAAAATAAAAATAAATAATGATTAGGATCAGTGTGGTATTTTTTATTTGTATTTTTTATTTTTTGTCTTTATGGCCACATGACAATATTAGAATCAGTTTGTTTTTGTCTTGTAAATATCATATACATTTCAGTTTTTCTTGAAAATGGTACGCTATAGAAGTTTGTCAAAACCATATGAAACGATCATGAATACAAAGAGTACATTTCTAAGAATCTGGCATGTTTTAAACTAGATTTTTCCCTTTCTTTGTTGCGAACACTCTTGTTTGTCATCCGCTCAAACGTTAAAGTGCGTGAGCTCAGAATAGTTCTAATTTGTTTATATCAAGAGGGCACTTAAGCGTATTGAATTCCTGATTAAAATGTGTCCAAGGCAGCCCTAGGCAGTCTGAAATGTCAACTGTTACACTTAACATGATTAAGACATGCACTCTGGCATCCGTGTCTCTATCATATTAGAGTGTGTGTAGCCAGCCAGCGTTATTTTAGTCAAACGTGACGTGAGGGTTTATCGCTCTGAGCGAGGTTGGCCACCAAAACGAGCTGTGGAGATTCCCAGATCTAGGCCATCAGCTACATCACTTGCCGCGTTCACCCTCTTCACTAACCTTGGGGAAAATCATCAGTATCGCCACGATTATTCGCTGGTGACTTCAACCTCTGTCCCAGTTTCCCTCCTCCTTTGCTCCTCTCTCCAGCACAAATGTCTTTTTGACTCATCATATTCATAATTCATGTGGAATGAAGTGATGTAGGATCATTAAATGCACATGAATATTTGTGGGATGAATCCTCAATCGGGCCGGCCGCTGGCAATCTCAGCCCGGTTGAATGCCTGTGTCCTGTAAGCTGAGAATTGGCCGTAATGTCTTCATGAGAGACGAAGCAAGCTTACGTCCTCTCTGCCCCCTCCGCTTAGGAGAGATCACTTTTTAAATGCCCCTGAGGTGTCACGGGATCCACAAAGATCAATCTTGCTTAATGCAACAACCAGGGAATGCATCTGCCCTCTCCTGCATCGTAAGTGAATGCCTGTAATTATTGATGGATCCGCAGAGTGCATGGATAGGCATGCACATGTAAGGCATATTAAAAGAAGAGCGATAGGCGGAATGCGGCTCGTGGCGTGAACTATGCAGATGTCTAATAGGAGGTCTTGAATGGAACAGACATCAGGCCTGTCTTAGCTGTGAAATGGCTGCCAGACTTAGATGAAATGTCCTAAAGAGAAGTGAAAATACAAGTCACTGATGTCATGTCCTGTTTGCAGTGCACGGGTCATATAGAGCGCCAAAGGCAAAGGACTTTATCCTAGAGACAGATTGGAAGAATTCTAGTTATTCAATTTGACTCTGATTTTCTAGAGTTTGCACTTTTGCGAGAAATCCCAGAAGGCATCATGTTGGATCATAACCCAAGCAGAATCTCATTTAACGCAACTGATTTGCTCAGATGATGCATTGCTGTAGTGAATTTAAAGGGATAGTTCTGTTATTCTTTGATCACTTAATCATGTCGTGTGACTTTCTTTGTTCCACAGGACGTAAAAGGATATGTTTTCCGTAAAGTGAACTGGGGGTTTTATGATGAATAGTGAGCCATTTAGTATTGAATTGATTTAAAATCAAGGTAAACAGAATGCAGAATTTTAGTTAACAGTTGCATGTAAGAAGATACAATTACAGTGAATTCAAATTCAAATAGATGCAATTTATAACTAGAAAAGCACTGGCGGGACTGGAACCCAGATTGCGTTGCTGGAAGCCCAGAGCACTAACCACTACACTATGGAGCAGTGCACCAAATTTGCAGATAACCACGAGAGGCAGGATTGGTCTTTGCTTAAAGTCCTTCTTGAATAAGCAAATCAAATAAAAATATAAAAAATAAAACAAATCAAGCATCAAAAGCTGGGCTGAAGAAGGTACAGATCCACAATGACTTGCAGGCAAAATGTCCAATAACATAAAGAATGGTTCCCAAACATGCAGGTCAAAAAAGATCTGCGCGCACACACACACACACACACACACACACACACTCTAACAAGCCAGGCACAGGTGATATCATTGAGCTAATAATGAACAGGAAATCAGGAGGACATTGTGGAAGGTCTTGCGCTCTCTGTTTCCCTCTGCTGGACTGGACAGACCGTGGTGTGACACTTCCTTCCAACGTCATTCCAATTCAAATTCCAGTTCAACTTCCGGTAGGTCGCGTGGCCAATTCAATTCAAATCCACACTCGTGAACTGAAAGCAAGCCAATTATGAATTTTCCACAACTCAGGTTATTAACTACCTATATTTATTCTGTTTGTCACATAAAACTTTGACTTCAGAGGACTTTATAGTGCATGAATCGCATTCATTTTGGGGCTTGACTAGTTTTTTCTTTGTTTGTTTGTTTAGAGAGAGAATAGCAGGTCAGGCACCTGTAGTCATACTCGGGTAAGTCCTATTCTATAATGTGTCCCGCACAAAGATGTAATTTGCTGCTTAACCATCATAATACGATGCATTGTTGGAAAAACGAACTAGTTAGTCACAACTGTTTCCCGAAACTTGGTCGCACCTCCATTATTTGAACCACATTGGTTCAACAATATAGGACTGTCAGTAATGCTGTCATGCACAGGTGGTGGAGTAATAACTTATGCTAATTAAATGATTTGAGATTGCAATTAATTACAGATTATTATAGATTGCTTATATGAACAGAAATAAAAAAACATTTAAATCACGTTAGCATGCACTAAAATATATAGTTAAATGCTAAAATATATAGATAGAGATATGTGTGTGTGTATATATATATATATATATATATATTAGTGCTGGGAAACGATTAAATTTTAATCGCGATTAATCACATTGTTATGTGCAAAATTCAATAATGAATTCAAAAGTAGTGTATTGCGCACTTTTATTTTAAAAGTACTGCTGTATTAACAACACTGCATTAACATTTGGTTTGCAAACATTTAAAACAAATAAGGTGCTTTTTTACAGCAGAATTACATCCCTTTACATAATAGCAGTTAAAATATTTATTGTAAATCTCAACTTAAACATTAATGTAATCAAATTAAAATCTCCTTTTCATACAACTCGTGTATTCTTCTTGTGATGGTGCGTCTTGAGGGAGGCTCATACATGATGTCATTTGTTGCGATCCAAAGAACGTTCACCTATTTTTGACAGACGCTGTGTCCAAGCCGCACAGTAGATACAAAATAAAAGTCCAAAAATCCTGTCAATTTCAAAGTAAACACCTTGCGCAGACTCCCGATCGTATTTCACATCACTACATCCTTGTTAGGAGGCCATAAATGGTATGTGCTGTGTGAACAAAAGTGCAATAACATCTGGTTTGCAAACACTTTATACAAATAAGGTGTTTTTTACAGCAGTATTCCCTTTACATAGTAGCAGTTAAAATATTTCTTGTAAATCTCAACTTAAAGATTAATGTAATCAAATCAAATTAAAATCTCTTTTTCATACAACTCATGTATTCTTCTTGTGATGGTACGTCTTGAGGGAGGCTCATACATGCCGTCATTCGTTGCGATCCTAAGAACGTTAGCCTATTTTTGACAGACGCCGTGTCTACAGTAGATACAAAAGAGAGATACAAAATAAAAGTCCAAAAATCCTGTCAATTTCAAAATAAACACCTTGCGCAGACTCCCGATCGTATTTCACATCACTATATACTTGCCAGGAGGCCAGAAATGGTATGTGAAATATAGATACAGTACTGCTGTATTAACAACACTGCATTAACATTTGGTTTGCAAACATTTAAAACAAATAAGGTGCTTTTTTACAGCAGAATTACATCCCTTTACATAATAGCAGTTAAAATATTTATTGTAAATCTCAACTTAAACATTAATGTAATCAAATTAAAATCTCCTTTTCATACAACTCGTGTATTCTTCTTGTGATGGTGCGTCTTGAGGGAGGCTCATACATGATGTCATTTGTTGCGATCCAAAGAACGTTCACCTATTTTTGACAGACGCTGTGTCCAAGCCGCACAGTAGATACAAAATAAAAGTCCAAAAATCCTGTCAATTTCAAAATAAACACCTTGCGCAGACTCCCGATCGTATTTCACATCACTATATCCTTGTTAGGAGGCCATAAATGGTATGTGAAATATACATAAATATACATAAATATACAGCTACAAATCTTTTATCCTTGTTCATAACTGGACATTTAAATTGTATTAACTTTCTAGTCTACAGCACAACAAAGTAGGACATAGCAATAAATACAACTATAAACAGAATTAAACCGGACAAAACATAAGTATTTAGCCAACTTAGCCGTGTTAGAACACAAATAATCAAGACAAACAACGTCAGACAGGCAAATCACGTGGTCTCGCGAATCCTGTCGCTTTGCATCTGAAATGCTCCTGGCGTGGAGGACAGAACGCGCCGCAGATGCGTGCAGTGTAAATATATTGTAGAAACGTAATTTTCTGTAAAGCTGCTTTGCAACGATTTGTATCGTGAAAAGCGCTATACAAATAAACTTGAATTGAATAAAAATTTTATAAGGGGTTGCACCGTGTCTATATCCGGATGCGACAGTTGTCACGCCGCGCCATGACGCAACAGCTAAAGTCTGTCCACACTGGACGCGACAAAGCAACCGTTGCAAATCATTTGAATTTTGTGTCAGTACGTCATAGATAGAATGAGGCAGCAGTTTACTGTCGGGGATTTGTCATGTCGCGCCGCGCCGCTTCCAGTGTAGACAGCATCACTGATTATAATGGGTTCTATTGTATTTTTTTGCGTCACACCGCTCGCATCCGGTGTAGACATGGTGTCACTGATTATAATGAGTTCTATAGTATTTTGTCACGCCGCGCCACTCGCGTCCGGTGTAGGTGTTAGGTCCACCCCAAATGCTCTCATTGGTTGAGACGCATGATGACGCCCATCCCAAATCAGTACTGATCAACATCCCACCCCTCCTGTGACCCATGGTTTATCTGTATGTGTATTCAGAGCCAGTGAGCAATGGACTTTCAAAATAATAATAATAATAAAAAAAACTGCGTTAATGCGCGATAAAATAATTGTCGGCATTATTTAATTAATGCATTAACACGATAACGCGTTAACTTGCCCAGCCCTAATATATATATATATATATATATATATATATATGTACTACTATATATACTATACTATACTGTACATACTATCAACTACTACTTACCAAAGGTCAAGAGCTGTATTTCCAAACACTAGTTTGTGACTATTCATTGGAACTTTGGTTTCACGAAACTGCAAATCTCCGAACTATGTTGGTAGCAATGAAACATGCAACCATAGTTAGCTAACAATACTTTTGGGAAACGCACCCTCTCTTCGCAAAGCTGCATCATCATACAAAGTCTGAGTCATAGAGTGGGGTTAGTGTGAAACTTCCCACACACAATATAGATTCCCCTGTTGGATTAAACACTTGTTTGCAATGCAGCATTATTAAATTTCCGTTTTGACTGGAGGCACAATTACTGTCACGCTAACCACTCCGCTAACAATTGCATCATGCTCGCAAGTATTGCTAGCATTTCTGTGCATGCTGGCAAGCAGCTTTTACAAAATATGCACACAAATAGACAATCATAATACATCAGTCTGTCTCAGAAGGTGTTTAATTACTTCAGTAAGGCTGAATCATTTTGGTTTTGCTAGGA